ACATTCAACAGGGCAGCACATGATTTTGAACAAGCTGCCACATCCTCAATGCCAATGCCTAAGCTTCCTGTACAGTGAAGTCTGTCACCTTGAAACTTTGCCTGCAACAGTGTCTGAAACAGACCTAAGCCTTTCCTCAGTTACTGGGAAATCTCCACTATGCCCAAATCACAGAATTTATTGAGCTGGAACATGTGTTTGTTTCCCTGTTCAGTTTCACAACATACCTGACAGAGAGCTGTGCTGCCCGCCATGCCACAGGGGCAGGACTGAGCAACAGGACTGCAGCAAGCCAACATTGCCAAGAATGAGCAGGGAGTGGAAAAAAAAAAACACAGCAAGGAAAAAACCCAGCCGGAGGAACGCATCTCGAGCCCACTCCTTCTTAGGCTCTAGACTCTGTTCTGTACCATGGACCATTTATAGAGGTTAAAATTACCTTAATCAGCCTTTCCATGGCATAGTGATAATCTGTGCGTACTTCAACAGAGACTGAAGTACATTCCTCACCTACGAGAAAGCCAGGTTCAAACCTCAGACCTGTTCTTAGGAGGAACATCAGAACCATTTATTTACATCTCCTGTGAAAGTCACAGCTTGGTAACAGGTACATATGCATGAGCAGTCTTGGACTTCCCTGTTGTGGTGGTTTCAATCTATATGAAATAGTAGAAGACTAAGTTGTGCCAGTCTTACCAGTATTGAATACTCCTGCCTAGTGATCTTGGCATCCCACTATTTCAAAAGCTAATGGTAGAACAGACATAAAGGGTCAGACTAAAGTTCTTTTTAGACAGTAACTTTTATCTTGTGAGCAAGCAAAAGCAGAAAACTACCAAAAAAACCCCCATAGACCAAGATAGGAGCATCCCCTGAATACACCTCCAGCCATTAACAACTTTTAACTTTGGGACTTTGGAGCCAAGTTGCGTCTGTATGCTTAAATATATTTTCCTCCGCTAAGCATTCCCTTCAGCTGTAACAAACCTTCAGATACCTTCTCTGCCTCTTTTTTTGAGCTCATGTAAATCTGTTGTATCTGCGATACCCACCAGCAAGCATACTGAAGCAGTGCTTTATTGAAGCATTTATACAATGCACAATAGTTTCATCAGAAGGGAGTAAAAATAGCAGAATAAATAAATATATTCAAGTTATAGAAACGAAATAAAATTAACATGAACAGACAAGTGCACAAACGTAAGTGCACAAACGTAACCTGGATGCTAAAGCAGTCTCCTATTCACGAGTGGACTAACTAAACCTATGCAGCCAAGTGCTTTATGCACTTTCAGAGCTAAACAGCCATGAGAGAGCACCTGAGGAGGCTCATCAGGAAAGCAGGCATACAGCAGACACACGGTGTCTTTTCTGCGGGTTTAGCCCTTGGTGCCTCACCTTCCACATCCGGCGTATTTTCCTGCTTCAGAGGAGCGTTGCCAGCCTCAGCTAAGCACCATCCACCGTGTAACTTTAAATTTAAATTCAAGAAGACCATTTATACACATAAAAAGTGGACGCCCACCCAAGTTTTTGCAAGACCAGAGGTTTAGTGGGAGCTTTGGAACCCGGGGCGGAGGAGTGCGAAACAAACTCGTTTTTAGCAAGTAACCTCAGGAGCTTTTGAAATAAAAAGACCTTATAGCAGCCTGTCAGTACCTGAAGGGGAGTACAGGAAGGATGGAGAGGGACTTTTCACAAGGGTGTGTAGTGACAGGACAAGGGGGAATGGCTGTAAACTAAAAGAGGGCAGATTTAGATTAGATATTAGGAAGAAATTCTTCATGATGAGGGTGGTGAGGCACTGGCACAGGTTGCCCAGAGAAGCTGTGGCTGCCCCCTCCCTGGCAGCGTTCAAGGCCAGGTTGGATGGAGCTCTGAGCAACCTGGTCTGGTGGAAGGTGTCCCTGCTCATGGCAGGGGGGCTGGAACCAGATGATCTTTAAGGTCCCTTCCAACCCAAACCACTCTGAGATTCTGTTAGTTTCTTCACATTCACATTCCTCGTACAAAAGGATGTCAGCCCGCAAACAAACTTACAGCAACAATAAACAAACACACGCATGTCCCTTCCCTCGCTCCTTCCCTTTTGTCCTTCCCCTCCTCCTCCCTCTTCCCCGTAGTTCCTAACGCCATGGCGCTCGGCGGGGCCCGGGCTGGGGGCAAGCGGCAGCGAGGGGAGCGAAGGCGCCGGGCCGGGGGGCGGGCAGGCCGCCCGGGGGCAGTTTGCGAGGTGGGTGACGAGGAGTTAGGAACTACGGGGAAGAGGG